GTGAATCAGGGAATCCCTATAGTAGTAACCCATCACAGATTCTCTACACATCTGATCCACTCTGGGATGGTCAAGGTTGTGGTGGTGCTGAAGGTCCTTGTTGTAATGTTCCTGGTATCCCATGGTTTCACAGAGACTATGGTAACACTACCACTACTGACTATATTGAGTTGAGGGTGTGTGCTAATTATATTGATGAAGACAGTCCTGTTAGCTTTTATGAGATTTATGTTAAGTAGTAAAGTGCATGTGAATGTATTGTAGAAGTAAGTCCTTTTGTCTTATTGTGTTGTGTAATAACTTTGTAAACTTTTAAATACTGTTGTGAACACTTTAAACTATGTTTATCATAATTATAGCAATGTTGTAGCGACTGCCTTCAAATTATTATTAATAATAACAAGCTTCAGCTATATGTTAGTACAATACAATACTTCACATTTTGAGTACATAATGCACTTTTGTAGTAAATTTATTTTTCCCTTATATGGAGTATTCTATTTATAGTCACACATTAGTCTATTTATTGTGTATGTATATGTTTATACTTGAAGATTTGCACAAAAATGTTTCTTCAAACTGAAAATCTATAGGGTCAACTTTTTGTATAAATCAAACAGGATTAATAGAGGTGTTAGCTGTTATTTCAAGTGTACATAATCATGATAATGAAACACTTCAAGACATATTCAACTATAATGATTTACTACATCATTATAATTGTGTTTAGCATTCTTGAAGGTTGTGTAGTTTATAAACTGATGTGCTTATGCTAGTCAATATTCAGTTAGTTGATGTCTTTTTTCTTTAAAATGTTAAGACCAGTTCTCTTGCGTATTGTCCTACTCCACTCCTTTAACATTTCTTCAGGTAATCATTAGTACAATATCTTCATTATAATGACCTGTACTGTATATTATATTAGCTAATGATGAGGAATCATCCTCTTGTCAGGCAGCAGCTACTTTATCTTGTCAGGATATTAAGAATTATTGGCCAGAGAGTTCATCAGGATATTATAATATAATAAGCAAAGGAGATGAAAGGAGATACATGTATTGTGATATGAAGGAGCTGGAACTAGCTCAAGCATGTGGTTCAGGAAAAGGATGGACAAGACTAGCATATCTGGATATGTCTAATGCTACACAGAACTGTCCTTCTGGGTTTAGACTGTACCAGTCAGGAGGAGTTAGAGCTTGTGGTAGAAATGGCAACAGTGGTGGCTGTGTATCAGTTCATTTCCCATCTAATGGTATCAGTTATTCTCAAATATGTGGTAGAGTAACAGGATATGTGTTTGGTTCTATAAATGCTCTTTTTACTGATGTTGTCACTAATGCTGAAGGTGTTACTATTTCTCATGGACCTTCTCAACAACACGTATGGACACTAATTGCTGGTCATAGTGAATCAACTAACTCATCATATTCATGTCCATGTAATACTGGTAGTTCGGTATCCGTTCCAGCTTCTATTGGTAATAACTACTTCTGTGAATCAGGGAATCCCTATAGTAGTAACCCATCACAGATTCTCTATACATCTGATCCACTCTGGGATGGTCAAGGTTGTGGTGGTGCTGAAGGTCCTTGTTGTAATGTTCCTGGTATCCCATGGTTTCACAGAGACTATGGTAACACTACCACTACTGACTATATTGAGTTGAGGGTGTGTGCTAATTA